ACTTAGCACTTCCTCATATTCCCAAATAGATCCAATGCCACAAGCCTTAGTGAAGTAGATTGTGCGAATATTGCTGATCATGGTGGTTATGCAGTAACAAAGATAATTTACATACTTTGCAGCAAAATTTAATTAAAATCCTCATTAGACATTTTTGATTCCAAAGTCCCTTTCTAGATATTCTGGTCTCCTCTCATTCTTTGCCCCTTCTCCTTGCCCCAAATTTAGTCTCTGAAATTCCCTGTATTTTTACAGAAATTCAGCTCAGGTTCTCACAATAGTTTTTTCAAAACTAAGGCACTTCAACTAAAGGATCCCATCCTCTTAGAAAACTAGCCAGTGACCATCTATTCTTTCACAGGCATTGTCTTAAAACAACCAGTATGTAGTAGTTTCCCTTTTCATCTCAGGTGATCTATCAAAATATTTGCCCCAAACAGCCCCACTCCTCTTTTTCTTTTTCTTTTTCGACAGAGTGAGTGGGTTCTGGTAGGAGAGGGCATGTGCAGAGAGGGACATAGTAATTGGGATGCAAACAAATCTCTTTTTCCATCTCACACCTAATTTACAATAGTAGGTGGTTGAGTGTTCTAAAAAAAGTAGTTATATTTCATTAAGTGCCTAACTAGCTCCTAAATGGCAATTAAAATTTTTCTAATAGCTTTATTAAGCAATGAGTCACGTACCATAAAATTCACTCTTTCGAAGTGTACAATTCAATGAATTTTAGCATATTCACAATCATTACCGCTGTCGAATTCCAAAATATTTTTCATTCCCAAAAGACACTCCTTACCCATTGGCAGTCACTCCTCATTCCTCCCTCTACCTAGCCCTTGGGAACCACTAATCTACTCTCTGTGGATTTGCCTATTTTGGACATTTCACATCAATGGAATCATACGATACTTGTTATTTTGTGACTGGCTTATTTCACTTAGCATAATGCTTTCAAAGTTCTACCACTTTGGAGGATATATCAGTATTTATTCTTTTTTATGGCCAAGTAATATTCCATTGTATGGATATACCACACTTTATCAGTTGATAGACATTTGGTTTGTTTCCACTTTCTGGTTATTGTGAATATATTGCAAAATATGTGATACTTATTATTTTGCGACTGGCTTATTTCACTTAGCATAATGCTTTCAAAGTTCTACCACTTTGGAGCATATATCAGTATTTATTCTTTTTTATGGCCAAGTAATATTCCATTGTATGGATATACCACACTTTATCAGTTGATAGACATTTGGTTTGTTTCCACTTTCTGGTTATTGTGAATATATTGCAAAATATATTGCTATAAACATTCATATAAAAGTCATTGTATGGACGGATGTTTTCATTTCTCTTGGGTATATACCTAGGAGTGGAATTGCTAGGTCATATAACTCTCTGTTTAACTTTTTGAGAAACTATTAAACAGTATTCCAAAGTGGCCACATCATTTTATATTCCCGCCAGCAAGTGGGAGCGTTCCAATTTTCCCTCACTCTCACTCACACTTGTTATTGTCTTTCTATTTTATTATACCCGGTTTAGTAACTGTGATGTGGTACGTCGATGTGCATTTTCCTGATGGCTAATGACACTGAGCATCTTTATACGTGCTTATTCCCATTTGTGTATTTTCATTGGAGAAATATCTGTTCAAATCACTTGCACATTTAAAATTGGGTTGTCTTTTTATCGTTGAGTTGTAAGAGTTCTTTTAATATTCTGAATATAAGTCCTTATCAGATATATGATTTTCAAACATGTTTTCCCATTCTGTAGGTTGTCCTAATAGCAATTTATGTGTAGGCAACACTTGAATTATTCAGGGATTAAAGCTTATGTATGGATATCATCCAAACCCTTTGCCTCTCTCCTGGACTTATCCCAATTTGGAAAAGCAGTATTCATAAAATTCTCTAAATAGAGTACATAGGGAAAGGGGAAACCCCGCCCCACAGCGACTAGCAGAATATATGTGCTCAGTTAACTTTGGCAATGAATGTATAACATTTATATATTTATTCTTGGTTCCCACCCCTACTCTGAATTGTTGAGTCTCTCTGTTGGACTTTCAGAGCAATGATATTCATTTCATGGCTCAAGGCCCTCAGGGGAGCTATGAAGTCTTGGAAAGGTATGCTTGTTTTCATGTGTATGCTTTAAATTGCCTGTCTATTCCTCATTCAATGCACTCAAGTGTAACACTCATATGGGAGTTTACAGATTTTTCATGGTAATAAGCAGTTTCATGTTCTACTCTTTAAATTTGAGACTCACTTAGTTAAGAGAAAGAAGCAGTTGTTTCTGTGCCTTCAGTGTTGACTCGAAGGTGTTTTCCGTGGACCTAAATAATATGGGCATTTCCATATTATTTATACTATGGACGCTTACTTGGAGGTTCACTTAGAGATTTCACTTATTTCAATGCCCTTGATCTAAGAGTGGTTTTCTCAGTGAGGGAATAGCAAATACCTGTAGGGAGATGGCTTTGATGCTGTGAGGGGGGAAGGCCACATCTGCTTGCCTGTCAAATCACCTGAATCTACTTGGGTGACTTGGGGCAAGAGATGGTGCCAGCCAGGTTGTCTGTAATTCTACACCACTTACAATGGTCTATCAAGGTCATTTTGCAACTGACATTTGCCACATTCCCTCTTCAACATCTTGAGTGTTGACTTACAGGAAGAATCAGAATGATCAAAAAATGGGAAGAATCAAAGGAATGCTAGTTGGAACAGCAGTTGAAACTAAGAAATCAAAGAAGGCAGATGTATGAAGGAAACAAGCTGGGTAAGTGAAGAAGAACCAAGGAAAGCAAGATGCTTATTCGTAACCGGATATAAACAAGAGTCTAACTTTACACAGGCAGAGCTGGCCGGCCTGCTAGCGTTACGCAGCTCAGTTACCCATTCAGGGTGCTCAAGATGATCATGAGCAGCATGTGTATGACATACATATGGATGTGGGTAGATGCCAACTGGTGAAATGGGACACACAGTCATGAGCATGCAAAATGGTCTCAGCAGAGAGAGCGGGGAAAAGGGAGTTAAAATAAAATTAGTGGTCTTAGAGAGTTAACGAAAACAAGTTTGTTGTCTCAGTCCAGGCTGAAGGAACATGTTTTAACTTTAAACAGCCATCAATAGTAGTAACACCTTATAGTATTTATACAATGTTCATTTATATAATGTTCTTTCTTCCCCCATAAGTGTAAACACTTTTAAGCTTGTCTTATGGAGGAAAGAAGTAGTTTTACAATCAATTGACCTGAGGCTCAGAGGTGAGTTGAGTGTTCTGGAGGGTGGGGGAGAAGGGATGGGTCACTGATATTTAGACTCTTTGTTTGGAGCTAGGACTGAATTCGGCATAAAACATAGTAAATTTCTTTAATTCCTATGAGAACCCTATTAGGTGGGTGCTATTATTATTATTATTATTATTATTATTATTATTATTATTATTATTATTATTATTAGATAGATTAAAGAGAATTGCCCATACCACTGAGCTCATAATGGTAGAATCAAATCATATCTGTCATATTCCAGAGCCATATTCTTCTTGCTCTACCAGGTTATTTGCCAATTCTAACCGATGAAGGGAGGTGGCCTGGAGGGACGTGTGGAAGCAGTCTTAGCTCATGCCCAGTTATTGTGCCTGATGCTCGTGGGGTGGGAGGAGTGGTGTCTAACACAGAACCCAAAGCATCATAAGATGGGTGATTTTGTGACAGGCCTCATTTCTAAAGGACTAACGAAGATTTTCTGTTACATAACAGTCTACACATTGAGGGAGCTAAGGTTGAACTCTGCAAAGGGCAGCGCCTTACAATTGCATTTTGATAGTTCTTCTCCTTGTCCTCCCTCCTGTTGCCAAGTATGATGCTGGTGAAGGAAACCAACATATGTCACCCCAAAACATACCTCATGATATAAAAATTAGTTTGAGCTGAAGGAAATGTAGCAGCAGCACATGCGGGAAAAGCTCTCTGTACACTCTTCTCTTTTCTGCGTACATGCAGGCTATAAATTCTCCTTTGACTGGAGACAGAATCTTCTCAGCCCAGAGAGGGCACCAGAGGAATCTGCAAACAAAGCTTACTCCATTCGTTTCCTCCCATATATGTCTCTTCCCACAGTTTGCTGTCCTCAAAAGCCTCAAGCTGCTTTCCTTTGTCCTATTTCTCTACAAATTTATTGCTCTTTGTTGAAGACGCTACACAAGCCAGAGTTCGAAGTTGCTACTTCGAGTAACTTTTCATGAGATTTCTCTCGTGTGACAGGAGCCACACATGTTAATAAACTGTTTTCTTCTTGTTAATCTGTCTTTTTGGTTAAGAGTCCCAGCTAAAAAACCAAGATGGGTAGAGGTAAAGTTTTGCCTAGTGTACACTAGCTATGGCTAATTTTCTCTCTCTCTCCGGTACCCTACCTGTTTTTTTATTTTGCAAGTTTCCTTCCTTAAAATGATCTCCTATCCCTGCTTGAAAGGTAGTAGTGATGAAAGATGAAATATAGCAGAAATACATTCACCGAGTATGTGGCCAGTCAATGGATAACTGGCAGATTGGTGGATTCTGGACAAGGATCCGGCGGCTCTGATCCTCACAGACAGATGAAGGCAGGATCAGTGTTACTCTCAGTGAAAGGATGAAAACACTGAACCAGATTTATACCGCAAACCACAGTTCTTATTTTAGTTTCCGAATGACAAATACTGTATTCCTCCATTTTCTGCTTTTACATCTGTGTTTAAATTTTCAGTTTTCAGAATCAGGGAGACAGATTTAAATTCTTGATATTTACATATTTAAAAACACTTTCATTGTCTTTTGCAAATTGCAGCCCCAATACACATATCTGTGTTTTTTTTCTCTCTTAGCTTTGCACATACCCAAAAACATCAGTCTTACTTTAGAGTCCTAACGGGCTCATTACATTTGCGAGTAAAAGCCGCGGAAACCTTTGGATGTGAATCTCAATGAGTCCCCAACTTACTGCACCATTTCACTTTCCAGTTACGATTGGCATCAACTCCACGGCAGTGAAACCTGGAGTTCCTTGACCTTGTTTTTCTCCAGAATCGATCCTAGAATGTAATTAAGAAAATAAGTATAGGAAAAATACTCAGAAGGGTAGTCACATGCATTTTACTAGCTCAGCCAGTGAAGGAATCGCAGCGCTGAGGGGAGTTTCTCCAGGAACAGAGGAAGCTTTCCAGGGAGTAGACAGAGGACTGGATTGGCAGGAGAGACCCAGGTTCATGCTCTGGTATTTGCCACAGACTTGCTGTGTCTTTTCTTGGCCTCGTTTCTTCACGGGCGAATGGAATAAGCTGGACTAAAGTAGTGCTTTTTCACAATTAATTTCAAAGGAGAAATCTTTGTTTACATGAACTCTTATGCCCAGCTACACGTACAAACACAATCAAAAGGTTGCTGCTATGATGGGGGAGGGGCAGAGGTCTCTTGTAGTTCTGGAATGTCTAAGCTGGCTGCCCACAAGCTTCCTGCCTGTTCTGTTTTCTATGATTTATTCAGCCTTTCTCTCCGGTTGGATAGGCAAAGTGACTTACATTGGTCCAGCTAAAATGGTATCCATCCACGTTAAACACAGGCATGATATAGAAATACAGATGATTCATCATTTTTCTCATGGTTGGGTCACTCTTATATGTTAGAAGAGCCTAAAAGAGAAAGGTGACATTTTTCTTACAAACTGATCTCAGATACAGATTTAGAAAAAAAACAAAAACAAAAAAACACAAAAAGAACAACGAAAACTCCTTTTTCTCCATGGGAAATACCAAATATATTGGGTTAAAACATAATAAGCTGATATGAACTATACTCTTGGGCATCACATATTCTCTACCGAGACTTTTGTCTCAAACTCTTTGTTACTGATAACATTTTAGCAGAGGTGGTGAAAGATTAACTGGGCAGCCTCTTGCAGTATTTCAGATCTGGCTAAATTTTAGGCTTATTAAGAAAGCAACGATTTATATATGCTTTTGTATAATCAGTGCTTTTAAAGATTCCATTTAATCGCAGACGAAATATTTACCTAAATATACTTTGATATCCTTACATGATACATCATAACAGGCTAGTTATACATGTCAATTAATTGTTTCTGTCTAATCGGTACCAGATTCCAGTTTTAAGACTTACTGCATGGACACTCGGTTCTCTCCTGACTTTATAAAAAGTTTAATGGACAATATAACATCTGTCATCTTGCTCTTGAGATTGGGTTTTACTTATTTCGTGTCTGACCCCAAGTCTGAAGATTCTGTGCTATATATCTATTTGGCCACAAATAGAGAAGCATTGAACATGCTACGTCAACTTAAGACATTTTGAGATACCATTCCTTTTTAAAAAAGTTCTTTTTGGTGCATGTAATCTATGTGTAAAGTATCCTAGAGAAACACATAGGAAATTTATAACAATGGCTGCCTCAGGGGAGGAAGACTGGGGGACAATGCACAGGAGAGAGAATTACTTTTAATTTTATACCCATTTGGATTGTTTGAGTTTTTACCATATAAAAATACAGTTCAAAATAAAATAATTCTTAAATTATGTATATATTGCTTTGGGAAATTTAATACTTAAAATTTCAACCTTCTTTTATGTCTATCTAGTTAAGTAGGCATTCCAAACTCATCATAAGCATAATTCTGTGTTTGCACAGTGAGAATTCTGTTCATAGAGAGCAATCCAATAATATAGTTTATTATGAGAAACTGTCACTATCCTGGAAATAACAATGAAAATATTGGGATATATTCAAGAATGTAAGAGTTAACTACAATTTTGTTAAGTATAATTTAAATATCTGTGTGATTAACACAAGTCGATAAAGGTTAATATAATTGTCTCTTATTCTCCTTAGGCTTAATAATAATTTGTTGGCCTAATAAATTATTGCTTTAGTAGAACTTTAGTAGAACTTTCATATATGCTTGAATTTCCATGAACTGTCTAATGTTTCAAACTAGAGGACTATCCCTAGTATATGATCAAGCGTACATATCCTAGAATTTTGTTTTTCTCTAATAAATGGAGGTTCCCCAATGCTTGGAGGAATTTCCTATTGGGCTTGGCAGTGACATAGCTATATGCTTAGCTACATTCCTCTTCTAAAGTTAGGTAGCTGTGGCTTTTCACGCCATTCTAGAGAGGAAGAGAGAAGAGATGGAAGAAAAGAGAGCTGGGGGCAACAAGGCAGGAAAGAAGGGGGTAGGAAAAAGTCATGGTAATTTCTCCTCCTAGCATTGGGGACCTTAGCTCATTTGTCTCAGTCCAAACTGGGGACATCTCACCTTTTCCAAGCTTGGATCATGGGTCATGTCAGCACCTAAGTGCCAGGCTATGCTAGAGACCTGCATGAGGATGTTCTCTTATCCGGCCTTCTCCTCCACCAATGCAAGTGATCACCATACATTTGTATTTGAAAGAATTTTGCTAACTTCTTTTTTTAAAATCACAATATATTTTAAGTAAATAGAAAAAATACAGAGAAGAATATTACTTCTATGTCCCCACCAACTACATGTCACATCTTTGTGAAATCTTTTTAAAAAAATTGAGATGTTGTAGTGAAAACTAAAGCTTCCTTTTTTATCACTCTCTGATTCCATTTTCCTCTCCTCCACCAAGGTAATCACTGTCCTAAATGTGACATTATCCTTCCCCACATGATTTTGTTTTTCTACATATATTTTGATTCATGAACAATATACATGTATGCTTTGAAATTTCATGCATAAGAGATCAAGATGCATCATTCTTCAACCTGCTGTTCTCCCCCATTTTATATTTTTTGATACTCAGTTGATGACTCATTCAACTACTGTATGGTATTCCGTTACAGGTAAACATGCATTATATTGATCTCTTATCTTGTTGATGGGCCAGGTTGCTTCCGATATTTCATTGTCACAATATTGTAATGAACATTCTTGCGTATTTCTTCTAGACACATGTGAAAATTTCTATGTGATATATATGTAGGAATGGATTTTGGGTTATAGATTTACATGCCTTCCACTTTATTAAATGTCGTCGTTTTCTCTCTAAATCGGTAAATACTCTTATCTGCAGTGAATGGGAGTCCCATATTTCTACAACCTTACCAACCTTTGGTATTATTAAACTTTTAATTAAAATATATTTAATGGGTATGAAATTATTTGTTGTTTTACTTCACATTTCCTTGGTTATAAACTATGTCGAATAGCTTTCATATAACAATAGGCCATTCTATAAATTGCTCACTCATATTTTTACCCATTTTTATATTAAACTCATGCTTATATTCTGGATATTAATCCTTTGATTATATGCATCACGGACATTTCTTTCTCTCAGATTATTGTTTTCTATTTTCATCACGTCCTTGTTGAACATAAATTTTTAATTATATAACCATTAAATGTATGTTTTATTTAAGAACCCAACTCTGCCTTAAGATCATAAGTATATTATTCCGTCTTTTTTGCAAAAAGTTGTTTTAAAGTTTGTTTTTCAAATGTAGGCCTTAAACCTCCTAGGAACGAGTTTTTACCCGATGTGAGGTTGGGATTTATTAAATCATTTTTCCACGTAGAAGACCAGTTGCGCCGCTGTATTCATTTGGATGGTTTGTCTTTTCCCCAGTGAGTTAGCATATTCTCTGTCAAACGCTAAGTTTTAATTTGTGGTGGACTCGCTCTGGTGCGCTTCGGTTTATATCCATTCGCCAAAACCACACGGTGGTTTACACAGAATCTGTTGAGTCTTCTAGGACGTCCTTCCACTTCAGAATTGTCTTGGCTATTTTTGACCCTTCCCTCTTCATCTTAATTTTGAAGTCAAGATTGAGCACATTAAAGATGTTCTGTCCTGTCCCAGGTTATTTTCTTTTCGTCTTTAACGGATGTTGAATTTTAGCAAATCATCTTTCTTCATGTATGAACACAATTGTAGAGTTGTTGTTATGATCCATTTCAGTAAGTAATTTTCTATTGTTTAATCATCTTTGTATTCCTGGAGTAAGCCCATTTGGTTATAATATGTATTCTTATTATATTGGCTGGATTCGGGTTGCTAATATTTACATCTCTATTCCTAAGTAAGCTAGGACTATAATTTCCTTTCTGATTTTGTCCCTGTCTGGTTTTGGTATCAAGGATATGTTACTCTATTGTTGTTTGGGGAGTAAACTGGATAGGCCTAGAACAGAAATTAATTAAATCTAAAACAAAGATATAATAAGGGAGATATATATCTTTGCTTTCTTTTTCATTGATTTCTACTCTTTATTGTTTCTTTTGTTGGCTCTTTTTTTTTTTTTTTTCTAATTTCTTGCCTTGGAAGCTTAGCTCATTAATTTTGAGGCCTAATTCTTTTCTAATATATTTATTTAAAACCATACATTCCCCTTCAGTACGGTATTAGCTACATCCTGGATTTATTGATATATAACAGGTTCGTTTCCATTCAGTTGTAAATATTAAAAATTTTCCTTGATTTCTTTAAACCATGAACTATTTATATTTTTACATTTTAAAATATGTGTTTCCTTTTTTAAGTCATATTTTTAAAAATAATTTCTAACAACTGCATTACAGTCAGAGAATGTGGTTTATGTGATGTAGATTCTTTGGTATTTCTTAAACGTTGTTTTGTGGCCCAGCATCTAGTCAAATTTTGCAATGTTTCTATTGTGCTTAAAAAGTAAATACATTCTCTAATTATTGGGTATAGATTCTATATATGTTTATTAGATGAAGTTTATAGTCATACTACTTATATTATATTCTTATTAATATAGTCTCTATTTTTACTAAAAATTTTGCCTATCTGGTGTCTTAGTCACTGAGAGTTATATTAAAAAATTCACATTATTGCATTTGTCACTTTTTCTTATAATTCTGTCAAATTTTGTGTTTTATATTTCGAAGCTATTCACATGGCCTCATTTTAAAGTTCTTCATTTCAAAATAATTTATTTAATAAGGAAAGTGTTTTCTAGTATTCTATTCTGGAGTGGTTTAATTTCCAAGACTTGCCAGAACGTATTCTTCCTCTGATAAACAGGGTGTCATTGTATTGCATATGCTATATCTGTGATTGTTATAACTCTCTTAAGAATTGCAGCCATTCTCCATCTGGTCAGACAAAGCGAGAATGATCACACTGTGATGACTGCTCAGAAGTGAACAAGACAGTTGATAGACCTCCTTGCTTGAATGCTTTAAGTAATAGGATATAGATCATTTCTCTTTTATGGTTTAGGTGGAGTTTCTAGGAAAAAAGGATGACCATATGACTTTTTCTTTCCTGTGATTTCGACATATGATCATCACAAAGAACGGAGGGGTGTGCTTTTCTTCAAATGTGTAAGACTCACTAGCTGTCAGTTCACACCACCTGTACACACAGACAAGGAGATGCCTACTAATTAAGTTCCACCTGGGCTTTACAAGTTTAATTTCTTGACTAGTAGTATCACCTATGAGGAAGGCTTAAGTAAGTAGTCGTGATCGAAAGCCAGTCACAAAGCAATGTACTACACGCCTCCATGTGGCGGTCTTTAGGTACTACATATACTTCAATTTATTTTTAAAATATTTCACCGGAATGAATTTTAATTTTAATATAAAAGATATCAGAGAAAGTCCTGACTATTATCTTT